GCAGTCCACACTTATGGCCATCCCACCCTGTCTGCCACCTGAGGGCGATAGAGTGCTAGCAGGAAGTGAGTTGGCAGTTTGAGCAGTCGGTGAGAAAGGCTCACCTTTTTTGTTCTGATATTTTGTTGTTATTATTTGGGAAAAAGTTTTATTTTGGTACACTTTTTGTTTTATCTTTTCCTCCCAGCAGCTCACGCTGTTTTGGGGGGAAGCTACGTTTTTTTTTGGGCTTTAATTTTCAAAATGGATAGATTAACGGCAACGACCCCTGCAATGGCAAGAGAAACACCAAGAGGAAATTAAATTGGACTTGAACAATGACACCGAGATGGAAACTAAAAGGAAAAGGAGACTAAGAAGGAAATTCGAAAAAGAGTTTACAGTAAGGAAGCAACAGTAAGAGTGGACTTAATGGATGTGGATGATGTGAGAGCAGTGCATATTATAAAGTCAGTGACAGAAAAAGTTGGAGAAGGGAAAATCTTGGCGGTTCGACCTAAACAAACAAGGTGTTTTGAGGTGACTTTGGAGAGGGAGAAGGACACTGAGGAGTTGATGAATGGACTAATTATCAAAGGAAAAACCTGTGAGGTAACAAGACTTAAAAACAGAGACTTTGTTGTTTCCTTCATGCATCTGCCTGTTTACATGGACGACGAGGACATTTTAAAGAAAGTGGAGGGATGGGGAGTTCTCCCCATCTCTAAGATAAAAAGAAGGGTCTATCCAGGCACACAGACGGAACAAGATTTGTAAGAACAAGATTCCCCAGAGAAGTGATCTCACTCCTGTACAGCACCAAGCTCAACACAGCGGAAGGACCACAGCACTTTCGGGTGATGCACAGCCAGCAGGTAAAAACCTGCAGGTTGTGCATGAGCCCGGAGCATATGGTGAAAGACTGTCCGGAGTTTAGGTGCTACAAATGCGATGAGGGGACACTTTGCGAGGGACTGCAAAGCGGTGAAGTGCCCAGATTGCGAGGAGGTGCTCAACAACTGTGAATGCTGGATGGAAAATGAGGAAGAGGAGGAAGAAGGTGTGAGCGGGCAGATGCATGAAGGAGACAGCTAAAAGGGGCAAGAGGAAGGAACCACGACAACACAGGTTAATGGAACTAAAGAAAATAAGGACAAAGGAGAACAGAGTAAAGACAGTAACATACAGGAAGAGCAAGCACAACAAGGGGGAGAAGCGGAGATGCAAATAGACATTCCTCAGACTGTTGAAAAACTTTTGGACAGAATAGAACATCAAAGGATCGTGAATGAAGAACAGACTGTTGAGAGTGGCAGTGAAGAGGAAAAGGAGGACAAAGCTGGGAAACAAACGAAAAGAAGATCAATCAAGGTAAAACCAAGTTTGGGTGGGGCAAGGAAAAAGGTAGTTAAAGAGGACTCATTGAAAAATGTAAACAGATATGAACTGTTAAAGGACTTGGGGGAGATAGAATGATAATTGATGGGCTTGATATATATTCTTTTCGGTCTCATGATGGTGAAGATAGTAACATTTAATGCGAGAGGACTTCAAGATGTAAGAAAGTTTGATAAAGTAAAAGAAATGTGTAAAAAAAGAAGACAATGCTACAAGAAACAAATTGGACAGAAGGGTCTATAAAGGAAATGAGGAAAAGGTGGAACGAACGGTGAAATTCTGTATAATAATGGTGATGAAAGAAATGGTAGAGGTGTGGCAATTTTAATAAGAGAAAACTGTTGTAAAATGCAAAGAAATATACAAACATGAAATAGGGAAATGTTTGGTAGTGGAAATGAGTTATGAAGAGAAGAATATTATACTGGTCAACATACATGCACCAACGAAAGAAAAAGAAAACAGATTGTTTTTTAACATTATCAAGACAATTGTGAGGAATTATAAATATATTATTATGCTGGGGGATTTTAATACAGTTTTTAGCAAACAAGATATAGCGGAGGGTATGGTTTTCAAAACTGATACGGGAAGGAAAGAGTTAAGATCACTAATGGAAGAAAACAATATGATGGATGTATGGAGGGAAAGGAACGAAAACAAAAGAGAATACTCTAGAAGACAAATAGTAGGCAATTTCATTTATCAAACAAGAATAGATATGGTTTTATGTACAAGGAATTTAGAACGTTTTATAGAGAAGTTAAGGTATGAAGAAACGAGTTTAAGTGATCATAAGCCATTTTTTGTACATTTGGATTGGGATGCTGGGAAAAGAGGGCCAGGGGTATGGGTTTTAAATACAGACATTTTAAAGGATGGGAATTATGTTGAAACAATAAAAGACATGATAAAAAAGAAAAAGAAAATGTTTACAGAGATTTTGCAAGGGGTCAGGAGGAAAAGTAAATGAAGAAAAAACTGTATATATGAGATTTCGGCAGACGACAAATTTAACGGGGAGTTTTAAATTTAAGGAAGTAAAAGAAATGAAGATTTTAGGAATTTTAATGGGGAAAGATGAAGATAAAGTAAGAGAAACCATGTGGGAAGAAATAATGGGAAGCATTGAAAGAAGACTGAACTTTTGGAAATTGAGGGCACTAAATTTAAAAGGGAAGGTTTTAATCCTGAATGTTTTAATGACATCAAAATTGTGGTATTTTTTATGTGACATCTATGTCACATATAAATGTGTGGGTGGAAAGAAGGTTGAAAATATGTCTTTTAGACTTCTTATGGGTAGGGAAACCAGCTAGAATTGCGTACGATACTTTAATAGGGATGGTGGAAAAAGGAGGTTTGGGTTTAATGGATGTGGAGCCAAGGAAAAATAGTCTGGGAGTTAGTGATGCGCGGATGGCGGTTATATGGCATTGGATCAATGCACGCAAAGCTCCGGGTCCTGACAACATTCCTGGGCGTGTACTGAGAGACTGTGCAGTGGAACTCACTGATGTCTTCACAGACATTTTCAACATCTCGAGCTCGGAGCCCTCTCCCCGGACAGCACGCCAAATACGCATAATCTTTACTCTGTTCATTATATGTAAGTGTGAACTAGTGAAACGAAAGTCAAAGAGAGAAGACACCGTACAGCTGAATCACTTACGCTGTTTTCATCTGATGGTTTGTGTGGATTTATTTACTCATCTAACCTACACGCTATATTGAATAAAGGTTTTGCAGTAATTTCCCTCATTTTAAAGTCGAAAGCTGCGGGAATGAGTAATGTGATGTATGCGCAATCCCGCAACGAAATTCAGGATCTGATTAAACATAATTCTATTATAGAGAGACTTGTGAAATAGATTTTCATGACTTTTCAAAAACTTTTTGAGTTTATTTATTTTTACAAAACTTTCTAGGCCTGGAAATTGCTGTTCAATGACTTTTCCAGGTTTTTCATGACCGTACGAACCCTAATGTGACGATCGGGTGCTGGTCAGGTGCGGTTATCTAAATCAGACAAAAATACAGGTGTGGGCGGTTGGCGGGTGGATAATTTATTTGAAGCTGCGGATTCGGGTGACATTTTAGCTCATCTGCGCATCACTACTGGGAGTCAAATTAGTCAAAAAGTATCTGGATGAGGGAAACAAAGCAGAATGGAAAACAACAATGGAATTTTTTTTAAACAAATGTGGGAATTTTAATCTGGGAGATGATGTGTTATGGATGAGAACAAAAGAATGGATAACAGAGGGGTTGCCAAAGTTTTACAAAGAAGTTTTAAGGGCTTGGGGAAAACTTTTAGCTACTGTACAGTACAACTTACATGGAAGAGAAAACATTTTAAATCAGCCATTATTCCTAAACACCGGCATTTTAAACCAAGGGAAGGAAATATATTTAAAAAAATGGATGGAAGTTGGAATAGTTAAAGTAAGAGATGTTGTATATGAATATAAAGAAGGATTTTTACCAATGCAGTACATAGTAGATGTGATGGACGGAAGCAAAATAAGAATTTAATATGCAAGAACTAAAAAATAAGTATGAAATTATAAAAAATGCAATACCTAAAGAATGGATAAAAAAGGTTGAAACTATGGAAGGGGGGAAAGAGGAAAAGGATGTGTATGTAATACTGGGAGAGAAATTGTGGCTTTTAAAGGAATGTACAGTGAAAATGTTTAATGGCTTTTTCAGAGATGTGATTTTTAAGAAACCGGTTGCAAACAAATTTTGGCAGAAGACATTTAAAGGTTTAAAAGAAGAGGATATTTGGAAAAACATGAAAGGGGAGATAACTGAGGTCAAATTGGAAAATTCTGAGGTTTTTATCAGACACAGAGTGCTGTTTACTGATGTTATACTCAATAAAATTGGTATGGAACAAAGTGCCACATGCAAAGTATGAAGTGAGGAAGATTTTTTACATGTGTTTTTATACTATAGAGCATTGAAGGATTTTAATGACAAATGTAAAACTATTATTGTAAACCTGGGAGGGGAGCAAGATGGAGAAGTTACAGAGTGGAATAAGATCATTATGTTAGGGTGGGATAAGAAGAAAAGAAACAAAAAGGTGATCAATCTGTTTGTAATGCTAATGAAAAAAAGCCATCTGGGAAAGAAGAGTGATCGCAAAAAAAAGAACAAATTATACTTGATGTGTGGTGTTTGTTTAAAAGGCGTTGGGAAATGTATATAGAATGTTTGTATAGTTATTTTAAACAGGGACAAAAAAATAAGGAATTTGATAAGGTTTTTACTTCAGAGGTTTACTCAGTTTTCAAGGAGTTTAATATTGCAATGCCAGGAATTGAATAATGTGGAAGAAAAATATATTTTTATTCATATGAATGTCTTTGTTTTTAATTTGATTTTAATTGGAATGTTAATCGATGTCCTTGTGAAAGGCGTAATGTATTTTCGATGACCTCTCATCATATGTTTTTTAAGAAAATATTACATTTGATGTGAGAGCTGTATTGGGAATATTGGATGATCAAATTGTTTCAATAAAAAAAAAAAAAACTCTTTGTGGCAGTCTCCGCTTATGGCCATACCACCCTGTCTGCGCCCGATCTCGTCTGATCTCGGAAGCTAAGCAAGGTCGGGCCTGGTTAGTACTTGGATGGGAGACCGCCTGGGAATACCAGGTGCTGTAAGCTTTAACGTTTTCATACGAAGGGTTTTTACACTTGTTTTTATATTGTAATGAGCTGAAAGATTTTAATGAGAGATGTAAAAGCATGATTTTAATTTTGAGAGTTTTGAGAGGTGGGAACTTTGAGTGGGAGAAGGTGTTAATGTTAGGCATTAATGAGAAATGTAAAAATAATAAAAATAAAAAGTTACTAGTGATGTTGATGAAAAGTGCAGTATGGGAAAGAAGGGTGGTGGTAAAAAAGGAAAATGTTTTACTTGATGTGTGGAATGTGTATAAGAGAAAAGTTGAGAAATATGTTGAATACCTGTTTTATTTTTTTAAGTCTGAGGAAATTATGGATGTTTTTTATTGTGTTTTTACTCAGGAGGTCTTAAAGGTTTTAAATGACTTGGGGATGGAATTGTCATTTTTAAAAGATTAAACCAATTAATGACTCCTTTTTTAAATGTTTGTAAGATGTCTGTAAATTCTTAGTTTTAGGAGTTTTATGACAAATAAATCATCTTATGTATTTTAATATGTTAAATAATTGATATGTATGTTTGAATTGATATATTTCTTCAATAAAAAAAAAACAAAGCAGAATGGAAAACAACAATGGAATTTTTTTTAAACAAATGTGGGAATTTTAATCTGGGAGATGATGTGTTATGGATGAGAACAAAAGAATGGATAACAGAGGGGTTGCCAAAGTTTTACAAAGAAGTTTTAAGGGCTTGGGGAAAACTTTTAGCTACTGTACAGTACAACTTACATGGAAGAGAAAACATTTTAAATCAGCCATTATTCCTAAACACCGGCATTTTAAACCAAGGGAAGGAAATATATTTAAAAAAATGGATGGAAGTTGGAATAGTTAAAGTAAGAGATGTTGTATATGAATATAAAGAAGGATTTTTACCAATGCAGTACATAGTAGATGTGATGGACGGAAGCAAAATAAGAATTTAATATGCAAGAACTAAAAAATAAGTATGAAATTATAAAAAATGCAATACCTAAAGAATGGATAAAAAAGGTTGAAACTATGGAAGGGGGGAAAGAGGAAAAGGATGTGTATGTAATACTGGGAGAGAAATTGTGGCTTTTAAAGGAATGTACAGTGAAAATGTTTAATGGCTTTTTCAGAGATGTGATTTTTAAGAAACCGGTTGCAAACAAATTTTGGCAGAAGACATTTAAAGGTTTAAAAGAAGAGGATATTTGGAAAAACATGAAAGGGGAGATAACTGAGGTCAAATTGGAAAATTCTGAGGTTTTTATCAGACACAGAGTGCTGTTTACTGATGTTATACTCAATAAAATTGGTATGGAACAAAGTGCCACATGCAAAGTATGAAGTGAGGAAGATTTTTTACATGTGTTTTTATACTATAGAGCATTGAAGGATTTTAATGACAAATGTAAAACTATTATTGTAAACCTGGGAGGGGAGCAAGATGGAGAAGTTACAGAGTGGAATAAGATCATTATGTTAGGGTGGGATAAGAAGAAAAGAAACAAAAAGGTGATCAATCTGTTTGTAATGCTAATGAAAAAAAGCCATCTGGGAAAGAAGAGTGATCGCAAAAAAAAGAACA